GTTTAAGCTCAAAGCGTGTTGGATAGGGCAGCGTGAGAGGAGAACGTGCTATTCCGAGGTGGAGCGAGTCGCGCAAGTCGAATGCTTTGCGCAATGTCTTCTAGCAGTGGCTGAATTCTGCGCCATCCGCGCTGCCACTCGCTCGTGCGATCAAAATGTGAACATGCTCAGGCGTCCAAAGTGGCGATGTTCACAGGGTGATCTAGGTCCTTTTCATCCTTGCTGTCCGTGAGGGAGGCGATTCGAGCGCCATCGTTCGGTGTGGCGAAGTGCTTCGCATGGTAGAGGTCGAGTTTCGTCGATGCAAACTTGCGAGCAGGAACACCATGGTGGAAGAGTTCGTCCATCTCGGCTGTGGTGCGGTTGCGAGATTCAGGCAGCTGGAAGAAGAGGATGACCAGGATAAGACCGCAAGTGCCGAGGTAAAGGAAGGCACCTCTGGCGCCCCAGTTCCAAGCATCTGGGGAGAGCATTCGCGGAGTCAGGGTGTTCGTCACAAGGCCAGTGAGTACATAAGTCAGACGAGCAAGAACGATGGACTTGGCGAGCAGGCGGCTCGAGGGGATTTCGGCAATGATCGTGTATGCGCCGGGGCCGATGGTGCAGTTGTAGGCAAGGGCAAAGGTGATCAGAAGCGAACCGATGGCCCAAGAGATCGACGTGGAATCAAAGAAGCCAAGTGTGCCGATCAAGATCAAATGGAGGCAGCAGAAGCTGGCGCCGAGGAGGTAGAGCGTTCGGCGGCCCATGCCTCGCAGCAGGAACCACGAGGAGACGGTGCCGATCATGTAGGTGGTGTTCATGATGATGTTGAGGTTGAAAGCGTTGTTCTGGCTGAGACCGGCACGACGGAAGAAGACGACCGAGTATGACATGAGGGGATTGCCACACCACCATTGAAGCGAGTAGACTATGCAGACCAATAGCGTGCGTCGAACATTGGCCTTGCGGAAGCATTCCAGATAGGAGGCACCGGCAGTCTCCGCCTTTTCGAGTGCGTTTGTGTGACGCATAAGAGAAACCTTGTTATCGATGTGCGATTCGTCTTCGCCGCTTTGTGTGGTCTGCATCTTGCGGAGCGAAGCCTTGGCCTCCTCGTACTTTCCTTTACGGGCATAGTGCCAAGGCGACTCGGGCGCAAAGTACGCGATCAGGAAGAGCGGCACGGGCCAAACCCACTGGAGCGCAAAAGGCATTCGCCAGGCCCACTGACCGGCCATGTTGAGGGTCGCACGAACGACGATCGAGCTGAGGAAGATGCCGAGGCCCCAACAGAAGCACACGTACGAGGTCATGTAAGGGCGCAGCTGAGTGGGGCAGATTTCGGCAGCGTACGTCGTGGTGAGCGTTTGAAAAACACCCCAGGGAATGCCCATCAGAACTTCACCGGCACTAAGCATCGGCAAAGACTGCGCAAAAACGGGGATAAAGATCGTGAGGGTCATAAAGACCATGGACGCCATGTAGACAGGTCGGTAGCCCCATCGGTCCGATGCCCAGCCCTGTACGAGCAAGCCGATCACTTCTCCCACCAAAGCAGAGTTGGAGAGACCCGTCTGCCAAGGAGCTGTGATGACCTTGGAGTTACCGACTACAGTTCCGAAGCGGTCGATGAAGGCGTTTGATCCATAGAAGGAATTGATGACAACTACGTCGTATCCCTCCATGACCAAAGCCGTAGAAAGCCCCAGGCTCCAGAGGGCCGCTTTCCAATGCTTGCGGAAAGCCTCCACAACGCCGAGATCTTGCTGTTCGTGGATTGCTGCAGCTTCTGCACCGGCAACGACCTTTCCGTAGTCGCTGCCGAGCTCACTCCGAATGGCATCAGATTCATGATCCTCGACTCGAAGTACGTCCTGTGCTTCGTAGGAAGAGGAGGACATCTTGAAGGTAAGTCCTTGAAAGAGATACCGAACGTTTGGAGGCCGACTGCCTTGACTTGGGTTTTTGAGGAGCCGTCGCTCAATTGTGAAGATGGGAGATCGTGCTTAGATTGTTGCGCAAGAGCTTGTTTGACAGCTTTCGATGGGTGCTCGAGTTGTTTGAGTTACGGTGGCATGAGGATTCTCGCTTCGTTATATGCATTTTGGGGCTCGAAATGCCGCTGTCGAAATACGCGAGTGTGGGGTGCAGCGTTCCTGAGCACGGGGCCCCTCGGATTTCATATCCGTGGCGCGTTGCTGCTTCTCTGCCCATGCGCACAAGATTGCCGGAGCAGATCACCTGAGCTTTTGACCGAGTTGAACAGAGACAATCGGAAATGCACGCACCGCCGAATCGGGAAACTGAAGGAACCCACAGCTTGAAATAGGCTGCCCGAGAGCCGCCGGCAGGTTCCGACGGACTGCTCGCCGCACGCGCTTCCACGCTTCCCGAACAAATGGGGGTTTCTTTGTTTATTTAGGAATTTCCACCCTCGCACGGGCCGGTCTAAGCTGGTCCCAACTGACTTCAACCCGCTCCAGCAGGCACTGCTCGAAGGCACTGCTCTTGAGCAATGGCACGACGAGCAAGACGGGACAGGTCAAAGCTGCCAAGCCGGCCCGTTGATGTCCTGCACATCACGAATCTGAGTCGAGATCTTGACTCGTCCGAGGAGAACGTGCTACCGTAGGACCACGGAGTCAGCTCTGGGCCATCGAACATTGGAGATTCCCGGTGCACAGCGAGGTAACATCCGAGACGGGAAAGGACCTCACACCTCTCCAGCCATCCATCGCATCACCATTGGCTCCTTGCGTATGCCCAAGAACGTTGATAACCATGTATCGGAGTCTGATATACTGTCTTTCCCGGTTGAGAGTAAGGCCACTCTCGCCGCCGGGCATCTCGCTCCCGCCGGGCATCTCGTCCTTGTCGGATATCTCGTCCTTATCGGATATCTCGTCCTTGTCGGATGTCCCGTTCTCATCGGACATCTCGTCATCGTCGGGCATCTCTTCCCCTATAGTAATGAGCACTTTGTTCCATGCGAGCGGCATCTTCGGCTCCCAGATTTCATGCATTCAACGCCTACCCCGACATGTGCATTGACATCAAATCCTCAGGCAGTGCTTAAGAGTACAGTAAATTGAATAAAGGGCTTCAACAGCCGCTGCGGAAACATGCGTCGCAGAACACACTAGTGTCGGCAATCTCGGGCCTTGTCTAACTGCTTCGCTGGGGCTCTTCGGAAATGCGCGTAGAGATCATGCGCACTTCCGGACGTGTGACTTTGGGCTCTCAGCCCCGCCTAGTTTTGCTCGTTCCGCTGATAGGTGCAAGTTTCTGGAAAGCCAGACAGCGGTTTGGAGTTCGACGGGGGCATCCTTCAATCGCTGTGGGGTCAGCAGATTCTGCATCACCTTTCGGCAATCATGCCCCTTCTCATCTTGGGTGAGGCCGGCTCGAGCAATAGATCTCCGGCGAGACATGATCGACGCCTCGGCATTTGCGGGGCCCCGCGGACTCTCGAAGATCAGCGCCCTCCAAGAGAACGAATCGCTCTTCCACGCGAGGGGAACTACTGCGATCGTGAATCAGGGCGAGCTTCTTCAAGCACGAACATGACCATCACGCTAGACGCTGCTTCTCTGTACTGAATGGCACCATCGTGCAAACGGCGATTTGGAGAAAGCCGAGTTTCCGTCGCACTACACTGTGCCGGATTAATGACTACAGTCATGGAGGGCAGACGCACTTTCGCCTCGCTTGACATTACGTCGAATATATAAGCTTGTGTACTGTCCTTGATCGATCCATTCATCCATTCAAGTCCCGACTCCCACCCAGTTTTGCCCACTACCAACGATGAAGAGCAATCCCAAGACCCTCCTTGTTGCCGTTGCCACCGCTATTGCCGTGGCAGGCGCTTCGCCGGTTGCTGTGAAAAGGGCCTCGGACACGACCGTCGTTCATCTCAACCAGTGCTCTGGCAGCCCTCAGCACTTCGCTCAGGGTGTGCTTTACGGCGTCAACGGCACCAGCCCTCCTCAGTCTTACGTGACCGATCTTGGCATCAACTACCTTTCCGAGGGCGGCGCACAGATCGATGCCCAACCAGCTGGCTATGCCGCAAGTATGGCTTCGTATCAGCGCAGATTCAATCAGCTGCTGGGAGGCTACCAGCGCATGCGCGCTGTCGGTGGCGTCACGATCGCAAAGATGGCCGACCTTTATGGCGCCGATGAGACCACGGACAGCTCCTTCGTGTGGCCGGGCGACAACGGGGACTGGACCAAGTGGGACGCCTTTGTACAGCAGCTCATCTCTGACATCAAGGCCAACGGGATGACCGCGGCTTACGTCCTACAGCTGGAGCCTTGGAACGAGCCCGATATCAACTTTGGAGGTCGACCTCAGTCGCAATTCAACGAGCTATGGCGCAGGACTACCGTCGCCCTCCGCTCTGCTTTTGGTCCAAACACGAGCTCTTATCTGCCCATCGTCGGTCCAAGCACAGCAGGCAACCCAGGATACAACAACGGTTGGTGGAACAGCTGGCTGTCATCGATTCAGTCCAACGGGGGTACCTCTGTTCAGCCTGATGTGTACAACTGGCACATGGAAGGCGGTCTCCCCAATGATCCGATTCCACCAGCTCAAGCCCTGCCTGCGTACGTCAGGAACTATGGACTCACCACCGGAATCGGTATCCAGAACAACGAGTTTGGAGTACGTGAACAGCAGGTTCCTGGATGGGCAGCATGGTTCCATGCACGCTACGAGCGTCTGAAGTTCAACGCCTTGCGTGGCAACTGGGCTAGGGGTGCGGCCTTGCTGGACAGTCTCGCAGATCTGCTGATCAAGAACTCGGATGGCTCCTACTCAGAGACGGGCGAGTACCAAGTATACAAGTTCTACAAGCTCATGGCAGGCGCGCCTTGCAACACAGACTCGGGTTCAAGCATCGATTCCTACGCAGTCGGTGCAACCAACAACGTCACTGCATTGATCGGAAGCGAGAACTTCTCCGGCACGTGGAACGTCAACTTCCAGAACGTCAACTCGTATTTCGGAAGCGCCACTCAGGTCAAAGCCGATTTGATCTACCTTCCGTACAGCAATGGTGGAGTTGTCAATGGATGGACGACCAGCTCCACGAAAACGCTTGCTGTAAGCAACAATGCGGTGACCGCCTCGTTTAGTGTCGCAAACGGTCAGGATGCCTATGCAGTTCGGCTGCACATTTGACCATCCGACACGATGCAAGTCTGGTGGCTCATTCAAGACTCCATCAGTACCACTCGTATCAAGATATCTCCAAAATGAAGTTTGTTGCAATGCTAGCTCGTCAGCTCTTGGGTTCGTCCGGCGAACTTGGCGCGACAGGATCTTGTGTCTTCGGGCTCGATTCGAGGTCTGGGAGAGAATCTTGAGGCAATTGAACCAGGGAAGCTCGAGGTGCGATGGAGCCCATGACCTCGTCCATGGCCTCCAGGCTGAGAAGCTTGGTCTCAGGCCAAAAGAGCCACACGGTGACAAAGGTGACGGTGTTGACCCCCATCATGAGCCAATAGAGTCTGAAGCTGAGCGCAGCGCTCAACACTGGCCACAGCTGGTTGACGATGATGACGGCAAGGAAGAGTCCGAGGAAGCTGATCGAGATACCAAAGTCTCGCAATGCTTGGGGCCAGATCTCCGCAGAGATGACGATGCAGGCCGATCCCATAGCGCCTGCATACGCGCACTGGATGGCAAAGATGCAGATGACCATCCAGATGGCAGCCTTGTGATTCTCTGCGTGAGGCCAACGCTCGAAGAGGCAGCCGAGGAACAAGTAGCCGACCCAAGCGGTGCCAATGCCGAACAGCATTATCTTCTTTCGACCCCATCGGTCAGTGAGGAAAAGCGGAGCAAAGCATGCAATCAGTTGAAGCGAGCCACCAACACCGTTGATGATGAGACTGAGTTGCTTCCCTCCGAGACCGAGCGACTCGAACACCGTGATACCGTACAGCATTAGTGCAGCAACCCCCGTAAGCTGAGCAAAGATGCATGATCCTGCACCTAGCGCGATTCGGCGCCAAACGTTGCGCTGTCTGAGCAGCTGCCATGGCGAGTCGTATATGGCAGCAGAACGTTGAGCCAGCACGTCGAGCTGCATTGCGGTCCACTCGCCTTCGAGCCCTGTATGGCCACTCGGAAGCCGTCGAAGATTGAGATGGTTCTGACGGGCGAGTTTGACTTTGCTGTCCTGCAAGTTGGTCGGATCTTTGGATCGATTGAGCAGCTGACGGGGCGACTCTGGCGCCACCAATGCGACGACCACGAGTGCGATGCCAAAGCCCATCTGGATAGCAGTAAGCACCCTCCATGAAAGGCCGGAAGGCAGGCTTGCTGTGCCCAAAGAGATCCAGAAAGCCACAAATACGCCGACTTGGTAAGAGACTTGAACCATGGCAACGGCAGCGCCTCTGATTTCTGGTGCTGCGATCTCGCTCGTCCATGCTGCAAACGTGCCTTGGCATAGAGAGACTCCCATGCCACACAGCACACGTCCGCCGAGCAGCATTCCTTCGTTACGTGCTCCTGCGACCAAGGAAGCGCCAGTCATCAGCGTAAACGCGCCTGTCACCATGGTCCATCGACGACCGAGCCAGCGACCCATGAGAACGAGAGGTCCGAGATACGCGATGCAATTTCCGACATTGATCAGGGCTGCGAAAGCTCCCTTCATGGACGAGCCGAACTGGAACTCATCGAGGAAGGACTGATCTGCAATGACGGCTGCAGCACTCGCAGTGTCGTAGCCCGAGAATATGTTGGCCAGCGCGAGACCAGCGCAGATGGCCAACGTTCTTGCGTTTCCGCTCAACTTTGCTTGAATCAACATGATCGCAAAGGTTGCTCGAAGGTAGGAGAGAGGGTACTCTCAGAACGTGCGGAGTTCCAAGTATCATCTTGTTTTATGGGTGGGGACATCTGTGCCCAAAGCTTTGGCAGCCTACCTGCTACGCGCGCCACTGGCGGCTCAACCATACACGGCAGAGCAAATGGTGCGTGCCCCGCCATCCTGGCAGGACCCGAGCTGCCCGATGGCTTGCCGGCTTGCCGGCTTGCCGGCCGCGTGGACGGCGTTCATGCTGGGAGGGCGGGGTAAGTTGACTAGTGGCAAAGGCGAGTGGGATCAAGATTGCCGGCATTGTTCCAGGACTCCCTGCGGCAATCTTTGTTCTCCGATGCTCGGCTGCGAGACAAAAAAAAAATTATTTTATTTTTTGCGAATAATTAATCTCTTCTCGAGCTTGCTACCGTCCTGCATCTTCACTGGCCTACTCGGTGCTACAATGTACAGGCAGAGATTCCCGGATCCTCTTTAATGCCGACGGGCAGGGCTGCAAGTCCGCCGCCGGGGACATCGGGAAAGTGGCAACTGCCTTACCCGGCTGAACTCGACGGACGTGCTGCATATGATTGTGAGCGCGGTGTTCATTGATGCGCAGCCAGGAACATCGACCGTTAGGCGCACCAGCTTTAAAGTCACGGGGATTCGTGTCCGAGAAGGCAAGCACCTCGTTTGTCCCCATCTCCTCCTGAACAGCAAACATGTCGGGCGACTATCCTCAGGAAAAGTTTGTCCATGCGTCACTCGAAGCCGGCTCCTTCTGGGAGCAGTGGCAGACGGTAGCCCGCAAGGTGACCTTGCCTGTCCAGCTGGAGCTTCTCCGCAAGACGGGCAGGTACGAAGCCTTCAACCTCCAGCACATCCCTTACTACGACCGGGAACCCGCTATATGGCCCGTGCCAGACCATCTTTTCTGGGAGTCGGACGTCGCAAAGTGGATCGAAGGCGCTTGCTACCATCTTCAGTCCCACCCCGACCCCGAGATTCAGTCGCATGTGGACCATCTGGCCAACTTGATCGAAAAGGCCCAACAGCCTGATGGATACCTCAACATTCACTTTGTGGTCAACACGCCTGACGAGCGATGGACGAATCTCCGCGATCTTCACGAGCTGTACAACTTCGGCCACCTGATCGAAGGTGCGCTCGCTCACCAAGCGCAGTGCGGCTCGGATCAACTGATCAAGGTCATGCTTCGCTTTGTCGATTACTGCTGTACCGTGTTCGGGAATGATCCGGACAAGCTCGCGGGTTATCCGGGTCATCCAGAGGTCGAATTAGCCTTGCTCAGGCTTTATCATCGCACTCGGTACGCCAAGTGCCTCGAGCTGGCAGCTTACTTTCTGACCGAGCGCGGCAAGGATGGAGGCCAATTCTACAAGGACGAGCAGGCCAAGCGTGGCGAGCATAAACACACAATTCCAGGCATGATGCCCAAGCCGTACAGCTTCTGGTACATGCAGGCGCACAAACCGATTGTGGAGCAGGATACCATCGAGGGTCACTCTGTCCGAGCAATGTACCTGCTTACTGCAGTGCAGGATTTGGTCGTCACTCCTGACAGCACTCGATTTGTATCGGAACAGCAGATCGAGCAGCTTTCTGCCGCAGCAATGCGGTTGTGGAAGAGCATGGTGCTCACGAAGATGTACGTCACGGGCGGCATTGGCAGCATCAAGCAGTGGGAGGGCTTCAGCATTCCGTATTCGCTTCCCCTCAGCACGGATGAGGGCGGATGCTACACAGAGACTTGTGCTGGCATCGGAGCACTTATGTTGGCGGATCGGCTGCTGCACGAGAAGCTGGACGGTGATGTCGGAGACGTCGCCGAGCGGGTACTCTACAATTCAAGCATCACGACTGGCATGTCGGTGGACGGCAGAGCTTTCACCTATGTCAACCAGCTCGCGAGCTCGGCCGAAGAGCCTTGCGAGCGCTTCGATTGGTTCGAGTGCGCCTGCTGCCCTCCAAACGTGATGCGCACCTTCGGCTGCTTGCAAGGCTACTTCTTTGGCAGCTTATCCAGTCGGACCTCGGATCTTGTGATTCACCAGATCTTCGCAGGCTCCATCGACTATCTCGGCAACAAGGTCCAAATGCGCACCAACTATCCGCACAGCGGTCAAGTCATCATTCTTGTGGAGATTATCGCCCCATCGGCCACCATCTGGCTGCGTGTTCCAGGCTGGGCCAGGTCGACCTACACCTTCTCTGGTGATGCCCAGTTGGTGGATGGCTACATCGCTATCCAGAGGCCAGGCGAATACGAGCTAAACTTGCAGCTTAAGCCGCGATTGCTCTTCTCTCATCCAGACAGTGGACCCAGTCGCGTGAGTCTAGCCTACGGCCCTCTCATCTACTGCATAGAGGATATCGACAATCCATGGATCGACGACCTTCCCGAACGCGAGCATCACTTCAAACACCTCTGCTTGGACTTGCCAGCCGAATCTTCTCAGATCAGCGTACTTGAACAGGACAGCGATGGGATCATCAAGTTGCGAGTGGCTGCGTCAGGGTACACGCTCAGGGTCGACGATGCTCAAGGTTTTGCTTCTGCTTTCGAGCAGGACAAACAGCCCGGATTCTACGAAGAAGCAGGAAAAGGCCGTGATCTCGTCTTCATTCCTTACTTTTACCGCTGCAACAGAAAGGGCACAAAGGGCAGGATGCGCACTTCGCTGCGCGTCAAGCCTTGACTTCACCATTGATTCCACAGCACGCACCCACTGTAGCTCAGAATCGTGCGGGCTGTAACCATGATGAAAGTGGCGTAATGGTGGCCGTCCAATGAGAAGTGGTTCCCGAGGATTCTTGGCATGCTTCCGTTTGTTGTCACGCGGACCCGGACTATCATGGAAGTAAGTGGTGTCATGATTAAGTGGATGCGCGCGTGCTGGTCTACATGAAGATGTCTGCTTTGAGCATGTCCCAGAAATCCTCAAACTCCATGCTTGAAAACGCTTCGATCCCCGTCTCGCCGGTAAGGACAGCCAAAGTTGAGCTACTGTTACCGTTGCCGCTCTCGCCCACGGATGCAAGCCCGTATGTGTTGGCCGACTGCGCTGAGAAAAGGACGTGATCTCGTCCGATCGCATGTGCATCGAATTGTCCAGGGGCGCCGTCCTGCCTAGTTGCGATATCTTCGCTAGTGGTTGGAACGCTGGCATGGCTTGAAGCTTTCTGGCGATCGACGCCTGGACTGGTCCTGCTGGTGGTGCTGCTGTTGCGAGTGGACGTCAACGACGCGACGGGTCGCACCTGGCCGCGAGAGACCGCGATGGTTCCTTCTCTCAGCCGCGACAGGATGGAGAGAAAAGGGGATGGGTATCCCCAGATTTCGTAACAGCCTTCGACGTACATTGTGGCCTCGGTGAGCAGTTCGACATCGGCGCGAGCGAGCCGGCTGCGCGGGGCGCGTAGGATGCTCAGCGCGAGGACGATGCTGGCCAAGAAAGTCTGTGGCACGCTGACCAGGATCGAATGAACGCCCGCATCGGCAAGCTGCAGGGTGAGAGTCGTGAGGCTTCGTGCAGCGTTGAGGCAGTGAGATGCTGATCCGAGCAGTTGGCTGATTCCGGCCATCTCGCGTGCGCGTAACCTGACTTCGTTTTGGAAGCTGTGCTGCGGGAACAGGATCGCAATGCGCAGCACCGCGATCTTAGCCTGGGGAAAGAGAAGTGCGGCGACCGATTTAAAAAGAAGTCAGTATGCTGTCATGTGGTCATGTGCGAGTGCCATAGAGTGTGTGAGACGTACGTGATAGAATTGCTGCGCCAAGAAGGCAGCCAAGACTTGCGCATTGCCCACCGGAGCGCTCAAAGAGATGCTCTGCGGCTTGAGATTGTCCGGCAAGGCAGTTTCCCATCTTGTCAGGCAACGCACCAGCCGCGCAGTCTCACTGAGCAGCTCGATTGCATGGCCAAAGCGGTGGTTGTAGAAGCGATCCGAGATCTGACCCATGATGGCCGCGAGCGAGACCCATGCTGGGAAGAGCGCGAGCCTGTCGTGCTCGCTTCCTGCATTGTGATCAGGCGCTGCGTCATTACTAATGTGTGCTAGTCTGCTGTCATCGCAATCTCCGAGGTCGTCGTCGACGAAGCCTGCTTCAAAGGCGTTGTGATCGTCTGATGGCCGCCACGGTCCGAAGCCCGGCATCCGAATGCCAAGGTCGACATCCACCGAGCCATAGTCTTGCGTTGAATCGATACTTGAGTGACGTCCGCACTCGAGCTGAAGGAGCCGCTCCAAAGAGAAGCAGGACCACCACAGGCGGCGTGGGAGGCTGGCAGAGTCTCGCAACCGTATCCTCTGCTGTTGCGGCGCCTCGACGCTTTTGTGAAGACCAATGGACATGGCGAGTCGGATGGCTAGGCCGAGGATGTACCACGACTGACCCTCCTTGCCACAGCCGCGAAGGCTCAGGGCGAGAAGCAGCAGTGCTTGCACGCTGGGCTGGTAAGGCGATGCTGTGAGGTGGGCATGCAGGGCGTAGCTTGCGGTGAGATACTCGGTGGCGGATACGTCGCAGGTGGCCAGTAGGGGATGTGAGGGCGATGTCTCGTTCATGCCGATGCTTACGATGCTGTAGAGCATAACGAGATTCGGGACGCGATTTGAGTGCACTTTGCTTTGCAGGCTACGAGCTCTCGTGGATGCGGTCAGCGGATCCTGTTGCAGCGCGAGGAAAGCATCGGCGTCGGCTTGTACCGCGTCTCTATCCACTGCAGGGAACAGCGGCCAGATCCGATCGAAAAAGGCGTCGATGCACAGCGACACGACCGCCTTTGGAGGAAGATCTGGCAAAGAGGGGAGGAGAGGCATATCGAGCTCGTCGCTCTGTGCCATTCCGTGGCGGAAAAGTGGAGCCGTGGCATCGAATCCATAGCCTGACAGGAGGACGTCGGTAAACTTGATCAGGCACTGCAGGCTGCTACCTCCCACCACCTTGGGACGCGAGGAAGGAGCGAAAGGTTATGTGTCAGTGACCGATGCAGAGCAGATATGAAGAGAAAGGGCAATCACCTTGAGTCTGTGCGTGGAGCCATCAGAGTTGACTATAACGTCGGGTGTCGTTACGGTAGGATCCTGTTGCTGCTCTGAGGTGATGGCGTCCGAAGGTCCGTGATCGGGCCTGCGTGCTTGCTGCGCCGAGATCTCGTGGTAGGCTCGGGTGACCCACGAAGGAAGTTCTGTATCACCACCGTTGCTGCTAGCATTGTTTCTGCTGCGATTGTGACTAGAAGCGGCCGCGAGGCTGACGCTCGAGCCGACCGAAGCTGGACTGCGCGCAGACGCCGAAGGTTGCGCTTCGCCAGCTGCAAGCCGCGGCAAAGTGGGCTGTATGTGTTCCGGTGGCTGGGCGGCTCCTGACACGGAATACGACACGGAATGCGAAAGGAGGCGTGGCCGGGAGGAGGCGTGGTCTTGGAGCTCAGGTTCGAGGTAGTCTGGGGCTGCGAACCCGTCGTCTTCGTAGTCATCGTCTCGGCCGTCTTGGCTTTCCTCATCGTCAAGACTCTCGCGAAGCGCATCTTGGCATGTGGCATCCTCGGTCCGATGATGAAGGCGTCGCGCCCGCGAAGTGGCGTCTCGCTGACCTTGTTGCTCTGCTTGGCGAGCTAGTAGACGTTCGACGTTGACAGTCGGCGGCCCGGTGTGTCTCCGTGTCGTCTTTCGTCTGACTGGCACGGGAGCGCCGGGTTTACGGGGATCCGAAGTAATACAGACGTCGCCGCGACGCAGGCAGTTGTGACATTTGGGCTGGTGGGCATCGCACCTGACTTTGCGCTTGCGACAGGTGTTGCAAGCGAGCGCCAGCCGATCCGGTTTGCTTCGCGGAGCTCGTGGAGGCGAAGGGGCGGATGATGGGACGTCGGTTGCGGCCGTACTCGAGCTTGCCAGTGCCGAAGACATGGAGACGAGGCATTGGGCGGCCTCGTCGACAGGCTCGGTCCATGTGTACGCCTTGCCTCGGACGAGCGAGGAGGGTGCGATGGTGATGGGATGATCGTCGACTAGCACCGTCATGATATGCGCATCCGAGATTGGGTGGATGGTGGAGAGATTCGGTCGAGCGAGATGTGTGGAGCGGTTGGTGTCGAACCAAGACGTGGCACCGAGGTGTGCGGAAGCAGCGGAACCAACGTGCGGAAGCAGCGTGCGGAAGCAATGTGCGGAAGCAATGTGC